ACATATTATATTTGACACAGAACCATGTTGAATTCTGGTTATCCATCATTATACAATGGGTAATACTTTGTGGGATGGACATACAAAGTTTGCATTTAGTTGGATTTTTTCTTAGCTGGAAATCTTCATGAACATATTTCCCTTCTACGTGAATTACTTACTATTTATGGAATTTAAGCGAACCTATTGACCGAGTGATTATTGTAGAAATATGTCGTTACACTTTGGACACAGCTTTCCCTCTTGAGGAATCCTGATGCTAAAGTGTATACCGGTCTCAGTATATACTGCATGATTGACTGACTGACTGAGTTTGGTTGTACGCCGCTTTTAGCAATATTCCAGCAACATCACGGCGGGGGACACCGGAAATGGGCTTCACGCATTGTACCCATGTGGGGATTCGAACCCGGGTGTTCGGCGTGACGAGCCAACGCTTTAACCACTAGGCTACCCCACCGCCCCATATACTGCATGAGATATACATAGTCTAATACATGTTCAGTATTATTATTATCATTAGTATCTACTGAGTGCAACTCTTTGTTTAAGGTTTACCAAATGCAACCCTAATACTCTATATTGCTTATATAGCAATTGACAAATTACTAATTCCTTGAAACCACGATGTAATACAGTTTATTATGCTTATCGACCAAACGTCGGTTTAATAGTGTCATCTGGACCAACTTCAACCTAACTAAAGTTATAATATCAAGTAATTGTCGGTATCATCTACATGATTATTTCATTCAATATACAATTATATGATATAATTCAACATTTCAATGTACAGTTATGTAATACATTCAAAATACAGTTCTCATAACTGTAAACTAATATTTAATAATTCGTACTCACTCGATATTTAGTGGAGATCTACCTAACTTTCCATATACCAAATGATTATTGACATCACGAGGCTTTCCACCCGTATCTCACAGCTGTATACGGGGACAACACATTATTAAATATATCTAAAGCTGTTTTACGTCCAACAGCATGGCGCGTCGTTAACAAGGTGTTCATGGTTGTTTGAGAAGGATGTGTGTGTGTCTGAGCAGTTTTCCCTAAACCTATGTTTATTACTGTGGAATATTTCTTGTATCGAGGTACATTACAGTGTAGTATTCCTTCATCAATGGTTTTGTTTTTGAACACAATTGCTGTCCAAAGAAATTAGGCACAAGTGACCACCTTCTGTCGCCTTGACTCCATATAATAGTTAAACATAATAATAAAGGGTATGAACAATGTACATTGGAAACATGACATTGTGGAAACAGTGTGAGTAAATGTGCAGTATTTCGTGTATCAATATGTGCTACTATGTACTATTTGTTGCTTCGATGTGTGTTACTCTGTAGTATTTATTGCCTATATGTGTGTAACTGCAGCATTTCTTGCTTTGATGCGTGTTACAGGTCAGTATTATCTGTATCAAAGTGTGTTACAGTGAAGTATTATCTGTATCAAAGTTTGTTACTGTGCAGCATTTCTTGCTTTGATGCATGTTACAGTGGAAGATTATCTGTATCAAAGTGTGTATCAGTGCAGTATTATCTGTATCAAGGTGTGTTACAGTGTAGTATTATCTGTATCAAGGTGTGTTACAGTGTAGTATTATCTGTATCAAGGTGTGTTACAGTGCACTATTATCTGTATCAAGGTGTGTTACAGTGCAGTATTATCTGTATCAAGGTGTGTTACAGTGTAGTATTATCTGTACCAAGGTGTGTTACAGTGCAGTATTATCTGTATCAAAGTGTGTATCAGTGCAGTATTATCTGTATCAAAGTGTGTATCAGTGCAGTATTATCTGTATCAAGGTGTGTTACAGTGTAGTATTATCTGTATCAAGGTGTGTTACAGTGCACTATTATCTGTATCAAAGTGTGTTACAGTGTAGTATTATCTGTATCAAGGTGTGTTACAGTGCACTATTATCTGTATCAAAGTGTGTTACAGTGCACTATTATCTGTATCAAGGTGTGTTACAGTGTAGTATTATCTGTACCAAGGTGTGTTACAGTGCAGTATTATCTGTATCAAAGTGTGTTACAGTATAGTATTATCTGTATCAAGGTGTGTTACAGTGCAGTATTATCTGTATCAAGGTGTGTTACAGTGGAAGATTATCTGTATCAAAGTGTGTATCAGTGCAGTATTATCTGTATCAAGGTGTTTTACAGTGTAGTATTATCTGTATCAAGGTGTGTTACAGTGCACTATTATCTGTATCAAAGTGTGTTACAGTGCAGTATTATCTGTATCAAGGTGTGTTACAGTGTAGTATTATCTGTATCAAGGTGTGTTACAGTATAGTATTATCTGTATCAAGGTGTGTTACAGTGCAGTATTATCTGTATCAAGGTGTGTTACAGTGTAGTATTATCTGTATCAAGGTGTGTTACAGTGCAGTATTATCTGTATCAAGGTGTGTTACAGTGTAGTATTATCTGTATTAAAGTGTATCAGTGTAGTATTGTCTGTATCGAAGTGTGTTACAGTGCAGTATTATCTGTATCAAAGTGTGTTACAGTGTAGTATTATCTGTATCAAAGTGTGTTACAGTGCAGTATTATCTGTATCAAGGTGTGTTACAGTGTAGTATTATCTGTATCAAAGGTGTGTTACAGTGCAGTATTATCTGTATCAAGGTGTGTTACAGTGTAGTATTATCTGTATCAAAGTGTATCAGTAGTAGCATTATCTGTATCAAAGTGTGTTCAGTGCAGCATTATCTGTATCAAAGTGTGTTACAGTGCAGCATTATCTGTATCAAAGTGTGTTACAGTGTAGTATTATCTGTATCAAAGTGTGTTACAGTGCAGTATTATCTGTATCAAGGTGTGTTACAGTGCAGTATTATCTGTATCAAAGTGTGTTACAGTGCAGTATTATCTGTATCAAAGTGTGTTACAGTGTAGTATTATCTGTATCAAGGTGTGTTACAGTGCAGTATTATCTGTATCAAGGTGTGTTACAGTGCAGTATTATCTGTATCAAAGTGTGTTACAGTGCAGTATTATCTGTATCAAAGTGTGTTACAGTGTAGCATTATCTGTATCAAAGTGTGTTACAGTGTAGTATTATCTGTATCAAGGTGTGTTACAGTGTAGTATTATCTGTATCAAGGTGTGTTACAGTGTAGTAGTATCTGTATCAAGGTGTGTTTCAATGCAGTATTATCTGTATCAAAGTGTGTTACAGTGCAGTTTTGTCTGTATAAAAGTGTGTAAAAGAGTGCGTCACAGTGCAGTATTATCTGTATCAAAGTGTGTTACAGTGTAGTATTATCTGTATCAAGGTGTGTTACAGTGTAGTATTATCTGTATCAAAGTGTATCAGTGTAGTATTGTCTGTATCAAGGTGTGTTACAGTGTAGTATTATCTGTATCAAGGTGTGTTACAGTGCAGTATTATCTGTATCAAGGTGTGTTACAGTGCAGTATTATCTGTATCAAGGTGTGTTACATGTATCAAAGTGTGTTACAGTGTAGTATTGTCTGTATCAAAGTGTGTTACAGTGCAGTATTATCTGTATCAAAGTGTGTTACAGTGCAGTATTATCTGTATCAAAGTGTGTTACAGTGCAGTATTATCTGTATCAAAGTGTGTTATCAGTGTAGTATTATCTGTATCAAGGTGTGTTACAGTGTAGTATTATCTGTATCAAAGTGTGTTACAGTGCAGTATTATCTGTATCAAAGTGTGTTACAGTGTAGTATTGTATGTATAAAAGTGTGTTACATGTATCAGTGTGCAGTGCTGTATTATCTGTATCAAAGTGTGTTACAGTGTAGTATTATCTGTATCAAAGTGTGTTACAGTGCAGTATTATCTGTATCAAAGTGTGTAACAGTGCAGTATTATCTGTATCAAAGTGTGTATCAGTGCTGTATTATCTGTATCAAAGTGTGTTACAGTGTAGTATTATCTGTATCAAAGTGTGTTACAGTGCAGTATTATCTGTATCAAAGTGTGTTACAGTGTAGTATTATCTGTATCAAAGTGTGTTACAGTGCTGTATTATCTGTATCAAAGTGTGTTACAGTGTAGTATTATCTGTATCAAAGTGTGTTACAGTGCAGTATTATCTGTATCAAAGTGTGTTACAGTGTAGTATTATCTGTATCAAAGTGTGTTACAGTGCAGTATTATCTGTATCAAAGTGTGTTACAGTGCAGTATTATCTGTATCAAAGTGTGTATCAGTGCAGTATTATCTGTATCGAAGTGTGTTACAGTGTAGTATTATCTGCATCAAAGTGTGTTACAGTGCAGTATTATCTGTATCAAAGTGTGTTACAGTGTAGTATTATCTGTATTAAAGTGTGTATCACTTCAGTATTTCCACTATCAATTTGTTCTGGTGATCTCCGTTCGATTCCCGGGTTCGATGTCCATGCGTGTAAAGCTTGCCTTGATATTGGTAGAATACTGCTTAAACGGCGAAACACCATACCCACTGACTCATTCTCTAAAACTAAAAACCATGTACTTTTTCCTGTTTGTTTTAGTATTGTAATATACTTTGTGCATCTGTTGTATGTATGTTTGTTTGTTTGTTTGCGTTTCAAACGATACTGTGTCTTTTGAAGATGCATTGTTATATCACGGGCTACCACAGCGCCGCTGCGCAATGTAGAAATAATGCTCCCATTGTACAACACGGAAGAGTTGCAGGTAACTTCTATATATAGCTCCACGATTGCCACTGATCGGTATTTAAACTATACAACATCTCAACTAAGTGAACTAAAGCAAAATTGGAAAACAATCTAATCGTCGTTCTTTGAGAATGGGTTGTGGACTAGCTTTGAAGAGTGTCTGTCGTGATCAGAGTGAAACGTGTTGGGTGAGGTCACCTAGTGGGGGAAATGGAGGAAACGGGTGTGTTGCTGACTGAACAACTAGGTCACGGACTGTTCAACGTCAAATAACAGTAACAATCGGAAACCAGTTCATATATGTTCGTGTAAGGAAGAATGTCCTTACCTGTAAGAGTTCAGTATCCACTGTGACAGTGAAAGTATCCTGGCATGATATGGTAATACACTTGATGCGACCCGCCTCTCCTTTACCTGGACACACGACCTGTCTCCTATACCTCTTAAGGTTTTTCTCCAACACTGTATGGCTGACGTCTACAGTTGTCTACATGTTTGATCCGCGTCTCCAAATTATTTTAAGTGGTGCCCCGTGTTTCCGCACGCTTGTCCGCCATACTCATGTCAGGTCGCGTCTCCTGAACCCGGTCTCCATGTTCATGACAGTGAGTCTTCGGTCGACCGGGAAGTAGTATATGCACAAGTAGAGTGTCACTGTGCGGGTTGGTCGCCCACTTGCTCTGGCTTGTCAGTGGGTACTGTCAATGTGTGAACGACAACACTTACTTCCGGGCTGATAAGGGTAGGAGTCCCCACACATCCGTCGTCGGTGTAGTCGCGGTTTGAAGATGTTAATTCACTCAGGAGGGATTGTGTCACAATGCATATATGTCGCGTACGGCGTGATATAAAATACATGTATTATTAATATCTGAAAGACTACGTGACTTGTCACTTGTTTGCTATAGCCTATGTCGCTTACTACGTGATATAAATATAGTTGATAAGTGAAAGACTACGGGACTTGTCACTTTTTGTACTAACATGATTTTCATGAAAGGGTCAGCTAATTGAAGACTGTAGCTCTCATACCACTCATAGATAACCGGCCTTGTATTGAGAATTTAAAGATTGTAATTTTTTATTTTGTTTCATTCATTACTCACGTATTAAATGTGAATATTAACAGAACATAACTCCAGATTCAAAGACTGGTGAACAGTTAGTATTTTGTCAAGTCACCATGGGCAGCAATGCAGGCTTCAATGCGGCGGGGCATACTACTGATCAAAGAAGTTAGAAAGTCGTGGTCCATGCTGTCCCAATATCGTACCACCTCTTCTTTCATTTCAGCAATATTTGTCAGATTTTTCTTATTGACACTTATTGAACAGTTAGTATTTTGTCAAGTCACCATGGGCAGCAATGCAGGCTTCATAAGTCCCCAAACATTTTCTATTGGATTAAGGTCAGGGCTATAGCTTGGCCAATGTAATAATGTCATATTTTGGGTCTGAAACCAGGCCTGTGAATGCTTTGAACGATGTTTTGGGTCGTTGTCCTGCTGGAAAATCCAAATATTTCCATAGAACACGTGAGCAGATGGAAGTAAATGTCCCTCGAGAATATCTGTGTACCGCTCACTGTTCATATTCCCTTCAAATACACAGAGGGGCGTTGCCCCTAACACAGATATGCCACCCCACACGTTAAATTTCGGACTGTACTTTGGGCGCTGATACAGGTTTTTCAGTTTGTTTGGTCCAGAATTTCAGTGTATTAGGAAACAGCCACACAGAACATTCATCTGAGAAGGTCACATTGTCCCAGTTAAAATTTCTATGCTGTAAGCACCAGTTCAACCTTCGCTCCTTTTGTTCAGGTTTCATGATCGGTGATGGAATTCCTCGACTTTTCTGCCAACCCATTGTATGCAGCTCAGTTCTAATTGTCTCCTTACAGACAGCCACAGTTCCTCTATCAATCATATTCGCCCTTAGGTTTTCTAAAGTCCTTCGTTTGTTTTTTAGAAACAAGAATACCAAGCCGCCTCCTGTCACCGACAGTCAATTTTCTGGGCCTATCTGCGCCTCCTGGTGCTCAATGCAATATTTTTTAAAACACGATAAACAGTGGACAAAGGGATGCCTGTTCTACTTGAAATCACTTTAGCTGATCTAATGTCCTTGTTATAATACTCTAAAATCAACTTCCACTTCTCTCTAAATCATCCATTCTGAGGATCACTGAAAATGTCGTCTGCTAGCAAGTGAACAAAGGGGGATAACTCTTCACAAACTAATGAAAAAGGATTAACGGAGTTGTCTCTCTTGAATGAAACCAAGCACTTGATAGCTGGTCAAGGTTGTTTATACTAGAAATCCAATTAAACATATTCCTAAAATTCTCAATAATTTCTGGTCATACTATATATGCAGTAATCATGTAGGAACTCCAGTTTAGAATAACCTAGAATGTTCGTAGCCGGTGACTAGATAGATCGGTGATTTGGTCGATTTATCGTACCTCAATGGCGTAGAACACTGCTCATACTATCAGGCTCTGGATTGTAATTATCTTGTCCAGATGTGATATGTACAGCCTGTCGTCATGTATAACTTGAATATTGCTGAGTGCGGAATAAATGACAACACAATAAATGACACATTCAGTGGTCGTCGCGAAGTTGGTTTAACATCAATCAACAAATAAATAAAATTACATGAGAGGATGCACGTCTATGCTTAAATTAGTTCCCTGATTATGTTGGTAAGAGATCGAATTAAATCAGCATGTATTTGCACAAACAAGAGATGACATGTTGGTATATATGTTTTAGTGCTATAATACATTAATACAGTATTTTAATACAATACAGGGTCCGCAAAATGAGGGCGGTGGGGTAGCCTAGTGGTTAAAGCGTTCGATAGTATCGCCAAAAACCCGGGTTCGATTCCCCATATGGGTACAATGTGTGACGCCCATTCTTATGTTCCCCGCCGTGATGATGCTGGAATATTGCTAAAAGCGGCGTAAAACTAAACTCACTTACTCAGATGACATGAACATATCCTCTAGCGTCCCCACTCTGTTGGGTCATCCTAAAAGTATGTGAGTGACTGTATTCTACAATACCATCCCATGTCGGTCACTTCATCTACATATGCCTATGTCCCGGCACGATCAGGAGAGCCGTAAGTAGTCTTGTAACCTTCCATGGCAACACAAGCATGAAGGTCATGGCGTGAGGGTCCAATGACATCTTCACTGGGGCGGTCAGTAGATCTGGCGCGTTTTTGCCCGTCACGTCGAAGTCCGGGTTTTGAAGCTCTCTTTGTGTTATTCAGTATCGGGATGTGTGACTTCCTGAGTCATGAGCGAACAATACTTTGATGATAGCTTCGTTGTTTGTTAGCTTCGATTTTCTGGTTTAGTTGGTCACAGACTGAATAACAGACTTTTTTTTGTCTATTTTATCAAAGAAGAGGAACAAATTGTGTCTGTTGACGGTTTCTTTATTGCAGTAGATGTGACGTTTCTTTGTAGGCAACACCGTTATCAAGCAAGTCATCTTGATCTTGATCTTATGAAGCAACATGTACCGATGACTTACTGGGGCTGCATCTTGATAACGGTGTTAGCATCTACACCGAAACGTCGCATCCATTGCATTCAAGAAGCCGTCAACCCGTAACATTAGTTCCTCTTCATCTAAATGCCTCTTAATGAAGATAGTTTATCAAAACACCAACAACTGTTTCTTCGTAAGTTTATTTATTTGTTTTATTTTAATTTTTTTTAATTTTTATAGAATTATACATTTCCTCGGACCCGTGAATTCCAAGATAAAATTGATCTTCAAGAACCCATGTTTATTGTGCGATGCGACTAGCGGGATAGTGGTGAGGTTCGGTTACTTGGTTGACACATGTCATCGTATCCCAATTGCGACGATCGTTCCTCACGATGCCATTTAAAGGATTGTCTTGTCCAAACTCGGTTATGAACAAGCTACCGTCAAATAGATGGATTATTGCTGAGTTGGACGTTAACCAATAAACAAAGAAACAAATATATTCCTACTGTTTAAGAAATACAGTTCGCTCTACCACTATGTATAGTGTAATAAAGCACACTTTCGCCCTGAACTATTATAGTAAAGTACGAGGACGCTGAAATACTGTCATCTTCTACTAAAGTAGGTGGATATGTTGTCCCTGGAAACAGCTTCATCCTGATCTGAATTGTCTGGTGGTGGCCAGAAATAAAACTACACAATGAAAAGCTAAGTCGATAGCGGTGTACACGTATCTGATGCAGACATCATACGAGGGGCGTTCAAAAAGTAGCCCGCCTAACTATATTCTCGATGTTCAATGTCTGAAAAGCTTCCATTTTATTTTGAAGGAATCATTAGGAAAGCCATATCCAATATTTCACATACATGGGCAATGTGGTTAACGAGATATTAGTCATCACAACCCATTGGGGTATAATATTTGAGGTTTAATAACAATGAAAAATTGCAGAAAATGAAAAACGATCTATCATTTGGTACCTCTTGGCTAATGGTATGCTCTCAGATATTATTATATAAAATGTGATAATGATTATGTCCGTATGATTATGCCATCTGAAAGGGGATGGGAAGTGTCTCCAAAACCTAGGATCCATGCTTACAATAAGGTTAGGTATTTAAACCAAATTTGACCCCACGAAATAGTTTTCTGTTGAATCCATGATTTGATCCTTAGTAAAGTGTGAATAGTATATTTCAGTGGGCACATACATCGCACATACATCGCTGCCTCAAACACATACCATCCACCCTTAAAAACTTACGGCTACACCCCTCGACCTCTCACACACACACACAAACACACACACGTACACACAGACACACACTCACACGTACGTACAAGCAGCCACACACACTCTCTCACACCCACGTACGTACAAGCAGCCACACACACTCTCACACACACACGTACAAGCAGCCACACGCTCACACCCACACGCGTACGTACAAGCAGCCACACACTCACACCCACACGCGTACGTACAAGCAGCCACACACTCGCACCCACACGCGTACGTACAAGCAGCCACACTCTCACACGCAGGCACACACACACACACACACACACAGGCCCGCCTCATCTTCTTTACTTCTGGTACGTTTTGCTTCTGTAAATATGTTTTTAATCATCATGCAACTCTTACCTTGGAGACGGGTGACCCAGTCGTCTAAGACGCCGCCATTCGCTGTGCAGAGTTGCGTCCCTTGGGAACGTCAGACGCCTGTGGTACTTGGTTTTCATCCTGGTCCACACATGTCATGTTTGCAGGTTTATTGCTATTTTCGCTATTTTAAAGTGGCAAACATGTAAGACATGCATCACTCTGGGTATTCCACGCACATTAAGTTTTCCCGCCATTATAATTCCACAATCACAGTTCAAAACGGGATTAAACCACTCTCTCTCACACCCCTATAGGTATATATACTAAGTCTACATTTTGTTTAATACCCCGTTTTGTCATCGTGACATTTTAGAAACGGAAACCGGTTTATCAACCGTTGTGGCTATGTCAACTTAACCTGCAAGTGTAGCGCAGACTCGCTCGACGAAGGAAGTCCTCGTTGGCTTGTGGCACAAACACATCACACAAATCTGGGACACATCGGCGAGCATCATGACATAAGTTGGTGATGTTATCCGTATAAGTGGTAACGTTTCCTTGTTTGCAGCATTACATTACATCCCTAT